GCGGGCTCCCCTCGCGTGGGTGCACGCAGAGCACATCCGCAGCAAAGCGATGTTGCAAAAAATCCCCCCAACCCCCCCCGGTAGTATTGGTTTACGGATGAAAATGGTGCATGTGCATTTATTCAGCCTACTTTGCCCTACAGTGCGGGCAGCAGCCTCCCACGCCGCGCTTCAAGATGCGTCTGTGACAGATGGATCTGTTACCTTCCGTTCCACCTAAAGCTTTTCCGATTTTAATATTTGCTAATTGCTTGTTTCTATATGTGGCGCCCTGATACTGTTTTAAACTGACTTCTGTAGCGCTTGTGAAAACCCGTGTACAGTCACTGATTTATCAAATCAGGGCAGACCATGGGTTAATGACCTTCAGAGGTGGCCGATTTAATTATAATAATAGCTGATATTACACGCGACGCAGTGATTGCACTTGCCTGCCGGTCCTGCAGTAATGACTTTTTCTCCCTTCCTCGTTAGGACGATGGCTTCTATCTCAGAGCGCACCTTCATCGCCATCAAGCCCGACGGCGTCCAGCGGGGGCTGGTGGGAGAGATCATCAAGCGGTTCGAGCAGAAAGGATTCAAACTGGTGGCCATGAAATTAGTACATGTAAGCTTTCCTGAATTCGTCTGTCTCCTTTTTCACGTAAACTGCAACCTTGAAATGGAGCAGCACACCATAATGACAGATGTAGTCTTCAGAACAATTAAACCTGAAATTTTGAGAAGTCTGTGAATATTTTGGCTATTTTGGAAAACTTCCAATTCCTAGCTCTGGCTAAATGCTTTAGACATGCTAAGCACGCTAATTTTAGTAACTTGATGTGCTTAGTCTGAAGAGAATATTCTTTTAAGTGCATCCTATACCTAATAAATATCTTCAAGAAATGCTAGGTCACATAAGCTGTCTGCATCGGCAAAAGATACTTTTCCAAGGTCAGCTGTGGCTAAAGCAAACAGATCAAATTCCTATCAACCAAAAGTACTCCTAGGAAGATTCTACCAAGAATTTTCAAGTGTGTGCAAGTTTTAGGATTAATGTGGTTAATCTGTGTGATTTCAGGATGCTCTTAAGTTCTTACAGTAAGCTTTTTTTTGGTTGGTGGTTGGTTTTTAATGCAGGCCTCTGAAGACCTTCTGAGAGAACACTACATTGACCTGAAGGACCGGCCGTTCTATGACGGTCTGGTGCAGTATATGCACTCTGGACCTGTTGTAGCCATGGTGAGTTCTTAAAAATGAAGCTCAGCTAAGAAAAATACACTGTGTGTCTTAGCTGTATGTAATAAGATTGTGTTACCTATTGAATTCTAGTTAACTTTCAAAAGGACTTTTTAAAGTCTAGATTCAAAGCTGTAATTAGGAAGACGTGCTGTTAACTCCTTTGTCTTTAATCTTTATTCATAATCTTTCTCTCCTTTGAGTCTGTATGTTGAGGAAGAGGGCAGGGGTTAAAGGGGAAGCCAAAGCTGGGACCTTGAGAAACAGTGAACCTGCACAAAAAGCCCACTATGAAATGCCACATATTAAGCAAGCTGAAAAATGACGGTGGAATATTTTTACTATACTCCTAAGCTATACTAAGTTTAAAATTCTTTTTTAGTCTAACTTCATTAGAAGGGATTTTTCTCCTTTTTCCCTTGATAGTGTGTTTGTAAAATAGTTGAGCTGGAGGTCTAGATCATCAGTGAGCAGAGAGCCTTGTAAGGCTGGTTACCATATTGAGATTTAAAACTGTTCTCATCCTTGGTGAGGAGAGGAATTGTGCAGAAGGAGAGAACTTCCAACAGGTGCTTCACGAATCTGACAGAAAAATCAGACATAAAAGATGTCTTGCTATGAGGAATACTTGGATGGTGATTTGTGCCACGATGGACAGCATTGTGTGATTGTGGAAGGTATGATTAAGTCTTGCTACTTCATCTACCGCTAAGATTTAATAATCTCAATGGATTTTTTTTTTTTTTTTTAAGGTGTGGGAAGGTCTTAACGTGGTTAAGACTGGAAGAGTGATGCTGGGGGAAACTAATCCATTCGATTCAAAGCCTGGCACTATTCGCGGTGACCTCTGCGTTCAAGTCGGCAGGTATATTCTGAAACTCTTGATATCGTCTAAAGACACTAAATGTCCAGTGGTGTATCATGATATATGTCATGATATACGCAGGAGCTGTTCTCCATCCTCCTCTATCTTATGCGCGGAGCTGCCGTTCCCGGTGCCTGTGTAAGGTTATGGTCTAAAGACAGAAGTCGAGTTGTGGTCTTCCCCGTCGACACAAACGATGAGCAAAGCTGGGACTGCATACTCTGTGCCCATTACTACTTTACAATAACTCACAACTTCTCTCTGTAATGGAGATCACCTCAAAAAACCAAAGCTTGCTTTGAGTTTGAGGACTGTATTACTTTTCTATCCACCTTTTCTTTTCCTAGGAACATCGTTCATGGAAGTGATTCTGTAGAAAGTGCTGAGACAGAGATCAATTTATGGTTCACTCCTGAAGAACTGGTTGATTACAGAAGCTGTGCTCATGAATGGATCTATGAGTAAAACTGAGCCTATGGCTTCTGAAATCCTTACTGTCTGCAAACAGCTGCCAGCCTCTAGCTATTTCAGAGCCCTTCATATAAACTGGTAGAAACATGTCCCAGAAATCTGTGAGGTTGCTCCGTTTTGAATATTAAATATAGTCAGCATTTGCGGCTGTTTTGGTTAAAAAACTGTCAAGTTATAGACGGAATTGTACTTTTAAAAAGCTGCTATGGGGGGTGAGAGATGAGAGATTAAAACACAGAGCGTACAACGCAGATATTTTCCTGAAACAGTCTGTAGTCAAAGAGGGTATTTTGGTAAATAGAAAAAAAATTGGTAAAATGTATTTGGTAAATAAATACGCAAATGGCTCAGCGTCAAAAGTTAACATCATTAAAATGTTAGGGGACAACTGGTGGTGTGTAAATATATTGGTGGTGTGCCCAAACGTTGAGGATTGAACTTGCTATCAAGCAAATCTCCATGCCCAAAACAGCTGTAGAAAAAACCTTATTTATTTCTCTCTCCAGAATGTGCTGTGCCTGTACAGGGAGCATAGCTTTGATTAAAATGAGAACATTCCTCTAGACTGACACTGTTTCAACTTGCTTCCCCCCCTACCCCCACCCCAGGATTTATTTAGCATTTTGAGAAAGGATTAATAGGCCAGGCTTTCTGAAATGCCGTTTTATGTGAAAAGAAGATTAATGTGAGGATGGGTGCGGGAGATCTACCTTCAGCCACTTTACTGTAGCAGTCCTCTGACATTGCACGGAGCAAGAACAGGGTGATGTTTGCTTTACTGACCAAACAGCTGATAACTTCGCTGTGTTCTCAGTTGGGTGCTTTCCTTAACAGCTGGAGCTACGAAGCAAGCTGTTCTTGGGTAAGGTATTTCAGAAGTGACTGTAGCACTATTTTCATTTATTTATTTAATCATGTCAAGAAATAGAGTCATAATAATGCTAAATGTATTCCAGTAGAGGTGTCTGCTCCTATCAGAGAAAACTATCAGCCTCTTGCAGAAATTTTAACAATATTCACCAGCTGTACTGGATGAGGACCAAGAAGTGTGTTGGGGTCAATATTATGTATTTATTTACCTGCAACATTGTAGTCATTAAAAGCAAGAGCTTAATGAAATTAGTTGTTCAAGGTCCTAGATTTTTTTCTTGTTTCAAATACTAAACTCCCCAATGTTTATTTAATTCAATGCTTATGCTACTTCATGAAGTAAAAAGAGATGGTACAAAATAAATCAAGATTTGCTGTTTCTTAAGTGAAATAAAAGGAAATTTTCATTATATTGTCTTAGAGCTAGTTAATGAGTATAAGGAGAGGGAGCAAATTCCCTAACTACCAAACTATAGGTGAGGTTGTTAGCTTCTCTTCTGAAAATATTCAGTGCTATAGAAGATAAATAATTAAGTTAAAGGTTGTTAGAGAAAAGGGAACAAGTGACAAACCTGTGCACGAGATGAGTAATCTCCAGTTCCATTTTTTGCTTGAAGGATTAGTTGAGGTTTCTTTTTCTTGTTTTGCTTACTACAAAATAGAGAAATTGGGGTTATCTGGGGATGTGGGGGTTGTCAGAAAGCTACCGATTCATATTTCTAATGTGTTTAGACCGAAGGACATGGAGGTCGGCCATCTCTGGGAGGGGATGCAGTACTCTGCACGCCGAGGTGTCCGAGCGAGCACAACCAGTGTCACTGATTGTAAGTGGCCCGTCAAGAGGGGACTGCATCGGTACTGCAAAGGGTGTTTCTTTAGTACTGGAATTGCAGCGGTGGTGTATGGTTACAACTAGCTCAGGAAGGTAAAGCATGTTCTGTAAATTAGTCTAAGTCCC